CAGTCATTTTGTTTACCTCGCAATTGCTGCAGACTTTCAGGTTTCCATAGTTTTTTCAACATAAATCAATGTTGTTTTTTATCTATGGTTTTTCCTGGGCGGCGAGGGAAGCATAATTGTGTTCATACATGCATTATATTACGTTTTTAATCAGTGAAGTGATGACATATAAAAGCATTGTGTTAAAATGCATTTTGTACTTTTATGTGTGATTAATTATATTTTTGATATATTGTAGAAGGAAGGTAGAGAATCGGTACCATTGAAGACTTGTGTTTTGTAAATGTATACGTCTAATAAATACTGGCAAGCAAGCGCTTCCATTCCTGTATAGACAAGTGTTCTTGTTTTGATTGTAAATAATTTATGTTCGTTTGAGTGAAACGAATTAGAACATAATAGTAATTTCCATTCCTATGTTGATACGATATATCCTGGTGAGCTTGAGATAAAAGATACCACAGAGTCTGACACATCTGTTTCATACTTGGATATTTTACTTAAAAAAGACACTAATGGTAATCTAACAACCAAGCTCTATGATAAACGTGACAACTTTAACTTTTCTATTGTCAACTACCCTTACTTATGCAGCAATATCACCTGCATTTGGAGTTTTTATATCTAGTTGATTCGATACACAAGAACATGCTCTACATATGAAAAATTTCTAAAACGGGGTAAATTATTGACAAACAAGTTGATGAAACAGAATTTTAGCAGTTTCGTTTAAAGTCATCATTTCGTAAGTTCTATGGTCGATAAAATGACCTCGTCAGCAAATACAATTTATTATCGAGTCAAATGCTGACTGTTATTCTTATTGTTAGTCCATTATTTATACACTGAATTTCCGTAATTCCTGAACATGACAAGAAGCACACCGCGGATGTGACCGGTCGGCAGGGGATGCTCACTCCTCCATGGCACTTAATCCCTTCTCTGATGTTTTGATATTTGCTCTGCTCTTATTTTGTATTGTTTTATGGACTTTGATATTGAATACTGTTCGTTATCTCCATATCCTTCATTGTTAGATTACATTTAACGTCTTTTATAGTAAAATATCCAAATATAAAACAGATGTGTAAGACTGTGGTATAAAATATTATACAATTATGGACTCTTTTGGTGTTGAATATGGTTTGTTATTCACCAGAAAAATATTCATATTGACCGAGGTGAAGCCGAGGTCAATATGGATATTTTTCTGGTGAATAACGAACCATATTCAACACCAAAAGAGTCCATAATTGTTTTATTATATAGTCGAGATTTGAATAAATAAAGACATTGAAGGCTGTATGACGACACCATTTTCATTTGCGATCTTCCATTGTTGAAAATAAAAATATCTCCAAATTACTGTTTGTAACATCCGTGTTTTCCTTTCCGAGTTTCGCTATGTGTAAGACTTCCAAATGTTAAAAATTATCCTGCAATAGGTTTGAATAATTGTTTTTCTGTTCAACTACGTAGCTCGCTGCGGCCGTTGCAACCATTGCTTACAACGTTGTTTGATGTTTTGATTGTGACGTCACAATGCCGTTGCACGCGCATTGACCCTCCGGTGAATACGGCCTAAAATCCGGTGAATATGTAGTGTTATGAACTGTTTGCTTTGTATAGATTATATAGGGACTATAAATAAACTATATAATAAATGGAGATAACGAACAGTATTCGAGCTCAATAGTATTTTAACATTTTAAAATAGGAGCGGAACAAACACAGACCACTAAAACATCAGAGGTAGAATCAGGGGCCATGGAGCATTACCTGCCGACCGTTGTCTCCCGCCGTGTGCTCCTTGTCATGGTGGTATCTTTATTTCAAACCCACCAGGATATATCGTATCAACATAAGAATGGAAATAACCATCGTTAATTGATACGTCGTCGATTTTAAATAAGTTTTAAAATAACAAACACATCCATGAAAAAGTGATAGTGATTCTTAATCTGATTATAAAATAAAACAGGTTGCATTTTTACCAAAGCAATAAGAAAACAATTATTTGACTTTAGGTCGAACCCACTTGACAATGATTTATTGACAAGAGCCTTTGTGATAAGCCATGTAACCCAGTAACCGATGTAAAAATATCAGGAAAATTATGTCTATGGTAACGTGACGATCTTATCAGGACTTTTTATGACTTTGAACTTATATTGTAGAAAATTTAGATCAAACTTGTGAAATGAAATAAAAAATAATATAATGAAAGGAATCCCATTTTCAGGCTTTTTCTCCTTCCAAATTCTCCGATAGTTCATATATCAACACTATACTCCAGTATTTTAATTTAATTAAATAAATTAACAAAGGTTTTAAAGGGTACATGTTATAAATCTGATTGAAATGTACCAATTTTATTAAATATATATGTAAAAATACAATGCTTACTGTTCAATTATCATCGAAAACAAAAGAAATACGCCGAAATTTACGGAAACAAAAGATATCGTAAAATCGTTTTAATCATTGCTTTATTCCATTTAAAAAATGTGAACAAGACTTTATGTTTAAGTATTTACAAATTATCATATTCTGAAAAAAAAACCCACAAAAGTTTAGTTTTTGGAGCAAAAACTTTCTTTTTTTCTTTGACCCACTTTTACAAGACGCATCTACCTTGTCGGAAGTATTAGATACAAAGGAAATCAATACTGGGGATAAGCACAAGCATAAGTAAATAGTTTTGCCTATGAGATTTGCATAATGGATTTTCTTCATCTCTGAGTAAGGTAGTCTTTCCTTTGTTGATTTTAGATGTATCCATAGGAAATCTAACTCCCACCGTTCTTTTTCTCAAATTCATTAGGGGTGTTATACCCGGTATATAAATAATAATTCTTGCAGGAAATCCATTTCTTTTGCAATATATGTTAATGCAAAAAGATGATTGATAGTAGATTGTATCATACTAAAGTTCTATTCGAGATTTTTTACTCATATGGAGAGGTCATCGTTTGCATGTGAAAGTCACCATTTACATCTATATTAGGCACCTAGAATCATTGAGCAGTCTGGATATAGAAACGTGCTAAGTCCTCCAAGCCACGCCACGGGACTTCGGATAAAAATGATCTTGTCAGATAATACAATTCATCGTTAGGTCAAATCCTGACTGTCGTTTTTCATACTTATTGTCAGGCCGTTATCTATACACCGAAAGAACGAGGGCGCCTTTGATTGGCATTCGGCAGGAATCTGGGCGTAATTGAAAAGTGAAAATTTTACCGACATGTCACATGAAATTTTAACATTTTTTTTAATTTATCGGGTTCCTGTGCAACAGGAAAGGAAAATATTTTCCCGAAACTGAGCTTTGATTTGGTAAAAAATAACTTGAAAATTGGTCAGATCAGACATTTGGTACAAAATGGTATTTTAAACACGTTTTTCTAAAAATTTTCTATCTGTGGGTCTTCTCTCCATGATTTTGAAACGTTATTTGTGTGTATTTGAATTAAAAGAAACGAATACACATTTTTAAAAAATGGAGAGAAGACCCAGAGACCACGAAAAATGAACTTTTTCCAAAAAAAAATCCAAATGTATTAATGTGGTGCTTCTTTGTCCTTTTTAAATCATCTTTACATGCGTAGCGATGATAGCTCAGTAAGATGGGCTACCTGTTCAGTGCGCTCGAAGCGAAAAGTTTTTGGTTCGAGTCTGGCATGGGGCGTTAATTTTTTTTTCGCAAACAACCATTTATTTTGATAGTTTTGTTTTATGTATTGATGTTTGATGTATTAAGATTTTGAATTAGATAAATTTTGGTTCAGTTTGGTTCTCGAGTGAAATCAATTCCAATCTTCTATTCTATAATGTAAATATACACGTATGATGCAACTATGAGTTAAATATTTTAGGTTTTTATTTTTTTATGACAGATTACTATGTTAAAGTACCCCCTAGGAAAAACGGACATAAATGTTACAATCTGACAAGGTATTTCAAACTAAATGGAAAAAAAACCCTATGGACGTGTTTGTAAAATCTGACCAGGTATGTTCAGCCAACCAAATCATGGACATTTAAACCAGATATGTTTCGTACAAATGATTCCTGCAGATCACACGCCAAATGCGCCCATCTTCTTTCTACGGATTTTTCCGTTCAGCTGATCAAGGAAAATGAACTCTCAGCAGATGTGTCCGGTGGGCAGGGGACGCTGACTCCTCAATGATACCTGATCCCTCTCTCGTGTTTTTTACATCCGTGTTTTTTCTCCTCCCAATTTGTATTGTTTAAAATAATGGACGTGTTGAGCTTAAATACTGTTCATTATCGCCATATTCCATTCTAATACTTTTAAATTCATTTTTTTTTTAAAAATTGAATTTATACAACAAAAAGCATTTGCATGGAAGTTGTTGAAAATGAAACATATGGAGATAACGAACAGTGTTCCAGATCAAAAAGCCCATAAAACAAAAAATAGGAGCAGAACAAACACGGACCTCCAAAACATGAGAGGTGGGATCAGGTGCCATGGAGGAGTGACCATCCTCTATCTTATCAATAGATTTCAGTAGGAATATATTTGAATTTAAAAAATACTTCAAACAAAATAGCAAAACCATAGTGACATTCACTTAGAAAAACTTCTTTGTTGAATATACATTACTGTTATACTGACTCGGAGAGTTATCCATTGTCAGAATGTCATTATACCGTACATAACATTGGCAAAATAATGGCTTTAAGCGAGGTTGTTAAAATCTTTAAACATCACTTTAAATATAGTAGAATGTTTCAGCTTTAACATTGATCTTAAGAAGATATTGCTTTTGGGTATCTAATAAGATGGAAAATTTTCGTTTTCGTATTATTGATAAGTGTTACAAAGCAATCAACAAAATGAAAAATAGAAAATAAATATCACATATGAACAATCAATTGCAAGCCTTCTCTTAATCGAGAAATTCATTTAATGAGCAAAATCATACATGATGAACAGGACATAAAGCGGTATAAAACATGTCACTGCTCAAGATACAGTTAAGAACAAGCTATACACAGTGACATACAATTTTACATTCTACATGTATTTTCTGTCTCAAGTGGGGATGGGGTAAGAGAATTTTTTAAAGACAGAATTAAGCATAAACAAAACAACTTTCTATAAACTATCGCACTGAGCACTATCCTGTTGATATTTTAAACATACAAATTTCGCGCACAAAATCTTCGCGATCGTCCTTATCAGATAAATTTAGACTAACTGATTAAGTTAATACGACTGAATCTCAAAAGTCGTTCACCCAATTCAACCCTGGGTATCTCACATGCCTTTTTCAAGAAGACTCTCCGGGTAGGATTTTGCACCTCAGGTTGGATCAACCAATCACATTCACTGATATCTTTATGGATTATCAGACGGTCCTGCTGGCGGACTGAAGTTTTCCACTTGTGTCGTCTGCCCTGCTTCATCATCAACTGGCGCCACTAGCGTAGTCTTCTTGATCTGCGCCTTTTCCACCTTGTTTCCACCTTCGTCCTCCTCGTCCGAGGCGTCTGCTTCTTTATCTTTCTGTTCCTCCCTCTGAATCAACATTTTGCCGAGACCTGAACATGGTATGGTGTTGTAGAACGCCATGCGGAACTGCTTGTTGGTACCTACGTAGATTATTGGGTCCCAGATGCAAGCCGACTTTGCAATTACAGCGGGAACTGTCATCAGGTATGGCGGAATGTCTTTGGCTTCACCAAATATTGCCCACAGACTCACAACAGAATAGGGAGTCCAGGAGCCCATGAAGGAACCTGATAAGATATTTAAAATGTCTTGAAAAATATGAATTAGTCATATGAATACAAAGTCATAGTTTCAACCATCGCCTTAAAATATTTACGTAAGAAATAAAGACAATGAAACATATTTACGTTATGAAGACTGAAATCAGCTGAAGTATCTAATCATTACAATTTATGGATATTTTCATTTAACGAAATTCTGACTCTCGATAAAAATGAATTGATAATTTTTATTTAATTTCGGTTCTAAATTGTTAAGATAAAAATCTTAACCGTTCAAACATAATTTTTCATCATGTGGTTCAATAATAAAAGTTAAATAAGAGAAAAAAGTATTTTAAATAAAAAAAAATTCTGTACTTCAAAATATATAAATAGTAGAACAAGCAATGTTAAATCATGTCATAAAATGATGAATTGTGACAGAAAAGAATTGTAAATTGCGGAAAAGGGTTATTGCTACTATTAAGAAGATAAGAAGTTAATAAAAAGAGAAAATATTTGTTTTCAGGAAAAAACAAATTTGTAATTATCTATTTCAATGACAGAAAAATAGAACATAACATTTATAAAAAAATTCAATAAAATATGGCGAAACATTTTTAAACTTTATTTTGGTTTTATTGATCTCAGATCATAAAAACTCTTCATCAAGGCCAACTGAAGGAAAACCCTTTCAATTTTTCCCATTTCATTACATTTCAAGAAATCATTAGTTTGAAAAATGATACTTGTATTAAATATTCTTTGTAATTAAAAAAAATGTATTGAGTGGAATCCTTTGAAATATTAATTTTGAATAAGACTGGAGTGTGGAATAAGATTATTTGAACTAATCATGTGCAATTTGATTTCAAAAATAAAATGACCGACAGCTGGAGATGACGTACATGTATATTAACACTGTAAAAAGTGATAAGCAAATATGGTCGACATTCCAGCCTATCAGAATTGTTATGTGTTGACGATAACAATACAGTTAGTAGATTAAAATGTCGAAAGAGTCCATAATTTCATCCAAACGATGTGTTTTTACCGAGAAAATATTAAAATAAAATAGCCTATAACATAAACATGTTTAAAGTGTTTTAATTTTTACGGTTAAACAAAATATATAGTACTTCTAACAGCAAAATTAAATAAAACACATGCATCCTTGTTTGATTATAACAAGCTGCGAGTAAAATAGTACTAATACTAGTTGATTAACAGGTATTTTAAGGTAGTGAATTCATATTCAGCTTACATAACATGTACACTATTGTTCTAAACATCTTCTTTTCGATCCGAAGATTTCGTCTGGCAATTCTACTGCTCATATCCCAAACACCACTTCTTGCCACGTGTCGTATCTATAAATAGAAACAAAACAAGTTTGTCAATAGTCTTTTTTCCTTTCTTTGATGCTTCGATGATATCCAGGCAGGGTTTTTCATTTAGAACATAACCTATCCTCTCAGGTCTTCCCATTGATAATCTCGCCCTGAGAGATCCTCCATTTAAGGCTTTTTTTCCAGCTTGTTTTCTCCCCTAACATTCCATCCATTTAATGGATTTAACTTTTCTTATATGACTTCAGGAAATAGAAAGTCATGATTTGAAAGTAACGACCCATTCCTCACGTTCTTAACAAAGAGATTGCTTTGCGACGGAAAGGCCACTAGACTGTGATTGGTTTTGATGATAGTGTGCTCAGTTAATCCTTTTCTATCGCTAATTTCCTTAAAGAAAGTTTATAACTGCATGATTACTTTTTTTGTTTAATATGAGATAATTAAAATATACAATAATAAGCGGGAGAAAACCTTGAAATACCAGGAGCATTTCTATTGTTGTTTTTAAATAAAATCTAAATAAATACCATAATTTACATTGATCTTTTATGTAATGTAAGAGCTGCTAGTTTGAGGTAAAGGGTCATTGGTTATTTTAAAATACTATAGAAGAAGTTTAAAAAGGTCTATTTTGAAATTTAAACAATTTAATAATAAGTGTTCAATATCTGCATTCATTAATCCCTTGCTTTATTTATGCGCCCGGATCGATAGATCCGAGACGTATATTGTTTTTGTCCTGTCTGTTTGTCTATTTGTCTGTTTCTCTGTTTGTCTTTCTGTTGTCAACTTTAACCTACGCCATAACTTTTTAACCTGAGAGATAGAGCCTTCATATTTGGTATGCATACTCCACTAATTAAGCTCTTTCAAATGAAACCAAAGGCAATGACCTTGAGAACTTGACTGTGACCTATATGCTAAAAATAGCTTTTTCGAACTTTCGTCATAGCTTTTAAACCATAGGAGATAGATACTTCATATTTGGTATGCATACTCCACGGATTAAGTTCTTTCAAAAGATTGCAAGGTCAATGGCCTTGACTGTGACCTTAAGCTAAAAATAGCTTTTAAGAACTTTGTTACCGCCGGGCGCATAGTGTTTCACAAACACATCTTGTTTCTATATATATTTCTTTCAGATGATGAATCTTTTGAATGAATTATATTTTAATTAAAAATCATATAACTATAATAATTTTGAAGGACTAATCATTCAATCATTATAGCAGAGGCCAACATCACATTCCAATAGCATTTGAATGAAAAATTTTCAATTGTCACTCCTGCTTGTTCAGATCTTTGTGTAGGTGCATGTAAATATGACTCTCATTAATGTTCTTATATAAAAGATCAGCTTACAGACCAAAGAAGGTAGGTGAAATACACAAAATGTAAATAGGAAGTCATCACATTAACTTACATGGTAGGTGAGATACACAAAATGTAAATAGGAAGTCATCACATTGACATTTGTCATTCTGTGCAACATTAACCTATGATATTTTTATAGTTATTTTAAACATGAATATAATAATGAAGGGTCAAGACCTCTAATTAATGTTATTACATAAAAGATCAGATTATTGACCAAAACATTTATTAGGCGAGAAACACAAAATGTAAATAGTAAGTCAGCATATTGATTTATAATGGCAGTTGTATATCCGAGAAACATGCTGTTAAAAGCAATATTTATTTCACAGTTTATTTTAAATATGTTCTGTTTTAATCAATTTGAAATAAAGTCGCATTCGAAATACGTCATAAAATTTGAAATGGATCATTTATTTTTTGAAAATCGCTAGCAACAGAAAAGATTTATTCCACAGAGATAGAAAAACAAAATACGTGCCAACGAATGAAGTGAAAAACTACTAATAAATACTATCTAAAAAGTTTTTGTCCCCCGCTTGAAAAGTAGGGGATATTAATTTGGGTCTGTCCGTCCGTCTTTCTGTAACGCTTTCGTTTCCACACGATATCTCGAGAACCCTTTGAGCTTTTTCAATGAAATTTTGCATAGCAACTCCCTATGGACTAAAGAAGACCCCTATTGATTTTGAGGTCAAAAAATCAAAGGTCAAGGTCATAAATTCGCAAATTCTCTCTGTTATAACACTTTCGTTTCCGCGCGATATCTCAAAAACCCTTTGAGCTTTTGCAATGAAATTTTACATAACAACTCCCTGTGGCTTAAGGAAGACCCCTATTGATTTTGAGGTCAAAAGGTCAAATTTCAGGGTCATGAATATATAAATTCTGTTTGTGTGTAACACTATCGTTTTCGGGCGATATTTCAAGAGCATTTTGAGCTTTTGCAATGTAATTTTATACCAAAAGTCCCTAGGACCTCTCTCACCCCTCTCAAAGTGTCCCGCCCCGTTTGTTTTATTAGTATTTATTGTATTACATGTCGCTATTTTTAGCACAAGTTATTACGTATAAAACAGGGTCTTTATATTCTTATTACATTAGACTTGTTTAATAAAGGTTAAATTAGACACCATGCATTGTATAAAATTTTGACAATATCGAACGTGAATATATTAATACATGTATGTGACTTCATCTTTGCATATAATTTACGGCAGTGTAAAGCAGTTCCGTAGTCTAGAGGTATGTCTCTCGCTTCACATGTGAAAGGTCCCGGGTTTCGACTCCCAGACGATCCATACTCTTATTTTTTCGAAATACTTTTTTTACTAAATGATAGTATTCAGAATGTGAAATGAGAAATTTATGAGGTCTGGCTTGTACAAAGTCATAAAATCATCATTACAGTGTGATAAATATTCCATATAAAAAGAATCTTCTATACACATAATAAAGAATAAGCAATCAAATCTTTATGTGCATATTGACATACATGTATTTTATTTGCTTCAGTATACATGTATACATTTAATAATTCTACAAATTCAGTCGGGAGATCCGACTTTTTCCCTAAGCGGGGGACACGAATTCTCTGAATTAGCTTGTTTTTTTTTTTTTGAAAAGGTGTATTTTAAAAATAAAACGACGTAATAGGTTTTAAATATCTGCATAAATCAAGCCCTTGTTCTTCTTATTATATATTTCTTTCAGATGATGTACCTTTTGAATAAATTATCTTTTAATTATAAATCATTTAACTATGATTACCGGGGTATTTTGAAGCCTTTCCATTCAATTTCAATTTCTTTATAAACTGCAAAAGACATACGTTTTATAGCATTAATACAATATATAAACAAATCATTCAATCATTATATCAGAGCTCCAAATCACATTCCAATAGTCCTTGAACGCATTGTCATTCTGTGCAACATTTATCAACGATATTTTATAGTTATTTTAAATACGCATATAATAATGTCAAAATCTCTGACAAACTTCTAGTAAATTGCAAGAACAGTGGATATTTTTTTTAATTTTCACTCCTGCTTGTTCAGATCTTTGTGTAGGTGCATGTAAATATGACTCTTATTAATGTTCTTATATAAAAGATCAGCTCACAGACCAAAGAAGGTAGACGAGATACATAAAATGTAAATAGGAAGTCATCACTTTGACTTTTATTGGCAGTTGTATATCCGAGAAGAATACCATTAAAAGCAATATTTATTTCGCAGCTTCTGTGGAAACATAGTTTTGTTTTAATTTATTAGAAATAAAGTCGGATTCGAAATACGCCAGCATTGGTAAATCGATAATTTATTTTTTTGAAAATCGCTAGCAAGAGAAAAGAAAAAAAAATTATTAGAAATAGAAAGACTAAGCGCCAACAATGCAAAGTGAAAAAAAAGAAAATAAGCATAAGCATTGCAGATCCGCTTAAACAAGGCCTACAGTCTAATTACAGACGGTTGATGCATATTATTGGCTTAAGGGACTAAATGTCAGTAATAAATGACCTAATAGGGATTAAAAGTCTATTTCATGTTTTTTTTAATTAAATGTGAACAATTTGTATTATCATTGTCTTTTAGAAGCATTGGAAAAAGGGTTGTGATCAAACGCAGACAATTATCTGCTATAGGTAATTAATTCCCATTAAAGCGAATAAAAGTTACCGCCAGCGCTTTAAGGAGCAACCTCTCAATTAGTGGGAAAACAATAAAACAGAAATATTTGATTAAAAGTAGCATGCAGACGTGATTGTTACCGAAAAATCTGGTGCGAAGAAATGGCGTAAATTAGAGATGTTGTCAACGTATGACAATTTTCTCCAGCAAACTTAGCAGGCATTATTTAGGCATAGTTAGATCAATGCAGTTTGAAGTAAAAATTAACATTAACAAAATTCCCGTATTTGTATAATAATCTGTCGTATTCTAAGCAAAAGACACGAGATATACATTAAGACTTGGACACTGCAGCTAGGCAGCTCAATACGTTGCGTCTTCCTCCAATAATTTGCTTGGCCCCAAGTTGTGGACTTTGCAAATGCATAAATGTTAAAATTATGCCACAAATGGGAACAATCACAATCTAAATACCAGAGCACAAACATTTTTTTCTTTACTTTGAAAAAGAAAAAAAATTAGAATTAACTAAACATTGTTAAAAAGCAAATGGAAAGATCCTAATAGATCTTAGTGATAATCTTGAGTGAATTTCGAAATTCCTAATCTTTTAAAAAAATGTACTTACAGTCATGAAAACGTTGTAGTAGGAATATAGTATCAGCATTAATGGTAGGAATAAACTCCAAATAAAAATAGAGATATTATAGCTTGCTGATTCTATGTCATCCGTATCCCATCTCACTGAGCAGGAAGTCCGCGCCGGCTCATATGTGTAGCTTCCCCACCCAAAAAATGGAAACGCTGCCCACAAGAATCCTTGAAACCAGATGGCTAGACAAGCGACGACAGCGACTCTGGAAGTGATTTTGTTTGCTTGAAGAGGCTTGGCTATGACAAAGTATCTATCGAATGAGATGCCCATAAGGGTGTACATGTTGGATAGTCCCATAAAGTACATCCAAAACGCTTCGAACGTACAGACGCTATCACCCCAGAAAAAGAAGCGATTGAAATGGGCAGTCATAGAAATAAAACTACAAATACTCATCCCAAAGTCACCAAGCAATAACGAGATAATGAACGTGTTTGTTGGAGATCGAAGATTCTTATTTTTGGCAAAAACAAGCAAACCCGTAAAGTTCATGAAGGATCCAAAGGTAAAGACAATTAGCAGTCCTGTACCTATGATGTAATATAGCGGAACAGGTATCAGGTACTCCACAGGTTGGACGTCCACAACACCTGATCTGTTCGTTCCATTCATTTTTCTCCAAAAGACAAGGGTCCTTTTTCTGATTCTAAAACCTTAGTCCCTGAGGATCAGATTTGATGGGAAATGAATAAATTCCTCCAAATGACCCACCGAAGATATACGCTGATCCCCTGATTCCACGGAGTGGAAACTAAAGGATATTCAATCTATTTATACATGACTATCTGCGGTTCCAAAAACAATTCATTTGGAGACACGCAGCTTCTTCGGAGTAGACTTTCCCATTATTACCTTGTGTGTTTCGCCAATATTAATGAATTTCATTGTATTAAGGCAAAAATATTTGAAGCGAGCTAATGAACACTATCCAGAATTGAATTTATCCATATACTTAATTTATCTATTTTGTTTAACCGCACCCTTCATTTTCACCTCGCCTTAAACATGTATTATACTGGCTGTTCATCACTTGAATAGTGAAATGATATTGCTATAGAGTGCTTATCAATTTATGTTTATGCGGTGGGTATATAAGACAAGTCCATTGATTATCCTTCGTAGAATTCAATTCAGTTTTAACTTGGTTAAAAAATAATACTGATATGGTAAATGACGACAATTACAATATCTATCTTTAAAACATGCTTTATAATTAGCATCCAAATGATTAGGATAGACATTAATTTAATTAAATTCTTCCTTTTGAAAGATTTTTCAAATTTTAAAAGCTTACCATGTCTGAAAATATGGTTTAAAGCTGTGGACACTTATCTACTGAAAATATGATATAAAGTCTTGTAATTCCTTCCTCTCATCCACATTATAGACTGGTAAACTTATAGACACATGTGATCCATTATCATTTTCCTGGGTACTGTTTTGAATACACACTACAACTGACTGCTGCCTAGTCAAATAACCTGTTCTATACACTTGTTCATCCATATAAATGTCCTTCTATAATTATCAAGTTTGGATGGACTTTCGTCATATTAATTATACTATCTGTGGAGGCTTGGAGTTGAGTTATGGAGTGGAGTCTGGAGTAAAACTTTGGAGTCTTAGATTTTTTAAATCTTAAAGGAAAAAAAAAGATATTACAGTAAAAAAGTTTTTATATTTTTGTATACTTGTTCATTTCATGTCCTGTAACTAAATAGATAGGTATTTCATACTGTGACCTATTAGTTTTTGATAGTGATGCTTATATTTGGAACTAGAGAAAATTTATTATATCAGTCGCGATATGATGCTGATAAGATTACTTTTGTTCTTTCATAATAAAGTTTGGAAACAGTTGAACATAATTACTCAATAGATATAGTCGGTCTTACTTATACGCAGTGTAATTGGTTGTGTTAACAAACCTGTCAACAGCTAATAGAGTTTGTAGCAATTTATAGGATTGCAAGTTTTTAATATCATACTCACTCATTCATTACATACGATATAAAATTTAAAAAAAGATAATTACTTAGTAGATATAAAATAAGTTACACACATTTTGCCACTATTGTATACTGGGAACATGTAGCATATTGAGAATATGCCTTCTTATAACTTGCTTTTTTTTTTAGAATTATTATCATTAGTATCGTTTTCAAGCACCAGGTAGTGCATTGTTTAACTTAACACCTGTGGCTAAATTTAGGTTATTTTGTAATTGAATCCTGTAGCATCTGTTTAAAAACAGACATTTCATTTTTACTTTTTGTTTAAATCAGTAACAGGGACAAAGGCATTCCTGCTGGCTTGATATTTTGTAATACATTCTGCTCATTTGAAAGGTCTGATATTTTCCGATTGTAATATAAATGTATTTTTATAACACTAACTTGCGCCAATATTCACCAATACAAGTTTAATAACCCTATAATACGCTGTAACATTTCTTTAATTAAAAAATGTGAAGTAAACTGGTGGTACGCACATACGAGGGCCGTTCAAAAATTACGCGGACTGTGTTATTATTTACTCTTACAGACGTCATATAGTTATGAAATTTCACAGAAATATGTATCTTAAAGATTCCAATAAATCTTAGGCAAAATTTATGTATTTTAAAAAAAAATCTACGAAAATTATCGGTATGTTGATATCGCTGATGAAGAGGTACGGAGCACGACAAAAAATTGAAGCAAAAACATGCGGAATCCAAAATTTAACTCATTTTTTTTTCCATAATTCGCGATATTTTTCGACAATTTCCTCAGATGTTTCTTTAAATTGTTCTATTATTATGTATTTAGATTTCTGACATGATATGTGAAGTACTAACAGAAATATGGGGATTTTTCTCCGGTGCGATTCCCGTGAAAACGACTGTAAAAATGACGTCTCCTGAATTGACGGCGCACCACACTTTTGTTAAATTGCGTGTGAGGCTCGAGATATCGCCAACGAAGATCCAAAATATGCATAATTAAACATTTAGTAAACTAGAGTATTCGTTATATTCGTCCACAAATAGCAAAATGAAATTTTAGACCGCTAGACCTCTGTAAAGAGGCTATACTGGAGGACGGGAAGACGATTATCAACGAAAACTTTATCCCGACTGTAAAGAACGTGATTGAGGGTCACCGATATTATACTATATCTCAAAAATCATGCATTTTTTGGTTTTAAAACAATAAAAGAATATTCTTTCCTTGTTTAATAGATTTTAAGCTTGACAAGAAACGGGGTTTGGATGTTGAGTAGATAAGGTATCTAAAACTGTACAGGTACTCTTGGGAAAATGTTAAGAAAATGAAAGCTCTATCACACATTTTTCTATAATGCCTGTGACGTCGAAGATTTTGCTGCTCCGTGACTTAATGATATGTCCTGATAAATCAATCAAAATCGATACCAATTAACAACATTTTGATATGAAATTTTGAAGACCATATAAGTAAAGATTCTTTTATATCATGTGTGACATTTTGCCCGATTATGTCGTCAATTATTTTTTCTGTGCAACAAGTCCGCGTAATTTTTGAACGGCCCTAGTATTTACATCCTTAGTATATTTGAATTATTTTTAAATATCAATTTTGATGATATCTTTCATAATGATTATAAATATTGACCAAATTTCTTTTAATATAAATTGAACTGTTCAGAACAAATTCATACTTATGAAAGACATTGAATCAGTTATAATTGAAAGCTTATGTCATAGGAGTTGACACAATAACAAATATTCATTTAAGATACTCATTACCTATTAGGTAAATCTCAGTATTAGTACAATTATTATGTTATTTTCTTTGTTTGAGACAAGTTAATCTTAAGTTCAAATCTTCACGTTACACTTTTTCGTTTAAAAGATACGCTGAGGTGAATAAATGGATCTGTTATAATCACAAAACACACTGCCTGTTCTTGTTTAAATAACTATGTCTTGACATTTTCTAATCAACTGAATATATAGGACACACAGTGGCTAGATCAGTTTCCACAAATTCTTTCAGATAACGTCATGGGTATTTTATAAAATTTCACTCTAATTTCAATAAGCGTTTTACCTACATCAGTGACATTTAATTCTATGTTTTAATCAAAGTTAATTGTTACATAAATTACTTTCAACACATAGTTGGAAGGTGAAAGAATGTTGTGAACCATACTGTCCCTTCTTTGTTATGTCTGCTAAACCTGTTATAGTATTCGATCCCACAGCTAGACAAGCTGAATAATGTAGGTCAATAAATTTTTACAAGGTTGTTTGATTTTTAAAAATTTGTTCACATAGTAACTTTCATTGTGTATATGTAGTCCCAGGCAATCCACATTAGAATAAGATTATTCAAAGATTTCTTTATATTATTTCCTTTAGATTCGCATCCATCAACTAAGTTTCTTAATATGTGACTTTCCAAAAAATAAGAGCGCAGTGGTTAGAGTGTCTGCTCTAAAGTCGTGAAGTAAGGAGTCGATCCTTACGTCGCGGGTTCGAATCCCACTGTGGGACGTAGAGACCGGTACGAAAAAGATCCCTCCCTGCTCAATGGCCCTGATTGCCGAGTGTAGGACAAAATTTCAGGCTCTCCATCGGTAAGTGGTGGCGTTTCCATATGAGTGAAAAATTCTCGAGAGAGACGTTAAACAGCAAACAACCAATCAATCAATAAAAAAAGAATGTCAATTCACGTACATAAACTTGCATAATTAAATAATATTATGCATACAGTAAATTCATGACTGTTTGTTGTCAATTTAAAAGTTAATGGAAAGGAATTAACTTTGATGCCAGTTATGGGATGAAAATATTTATATAAACTCAATATAATACTGTAAGAATCAAGTTAGCTCACATACATCAAAACTACTAGAAAATGGTCAAAATTTAAGTAGAATCTCTTACATATGTAAATAGGATAGGGTTTTTTTTCTATGAGCCAATGGTTTCTTACAGAGCTTTCACTATCTATTAGAAAACTGACAGTTTATCCATGGCACCTGATCCCACCTCCAATGTTTTGGAGGTTCGTCATTTGCTCTGCTTTTATTTTGTATTCTTTTATGGACTTTTGATCTTGAATACTGTTCATTATCTCAATATGTTTCAATGTTCAATAAGGATAAACTGCTACAAAATCAAATTTGATATGACTCATATCATTATTTGTAAATTCTTAAGGTAAGAGAGTGACAACCTACAATTAGTATGGCAATCACTATCATAATGTAACTTTTAATGCAAGGAAGTGATGGTGTAAGTGAACCCATATAATTTATATAATCATGATAGTGTGTTTATCTTATTTAAATTTACTCTATTTTTATTAATATTGGAAAACTAAACTAAAACTAAAACTAAACTCTGAACCTTATAGCTCTTGATAAATTTGTTGACACATCCAATTACACTGTATTTAAACAACCAGTAAGACATCGTCGCAAACCACGGCCAAAATGTACGATCCTCTCCCATTCTGGCCGTGGTTGAACGAGGAGAGAATTCTTCGTAGCTCATTAAAATTTTGACCGATGCGAATAAAGCATAGTCGGAAGATGAACTTTATTGCGACCTTTCAATATCCAATCACCGTAAAGGAAATATTTCTTGCATACTGTTGACGTCAGTTGTTGATTTCAACTGCGATGGAAACAAAACTTGCCACTGACTGAATATGACATCACAATAGAAAGGCGTAAATATTCAAGATTACGACACTTTTTGTGTTCATGCAGCCACGGGTAGGAGAGAGCTATATGCGGACTCCGGACCGTGGCTTGAGACGATGCCAGTAAGACCGACTTCATCTATTGTTAAATGTTGAACTGTTTCCAAAAATTATGAATGAACGAGGGTTATCTTGTCAACATCATTTGGTCTATTCACAACTGATGCAAGTTTCTCTAGTTCCAAATACATACATCGCTGTCAGAAGCTTACAAATTTTAATCAAATCATAGTATGAATTATCAGTCTATTTAGTAACAAGACATACGGCCAACAATAATGAAAAAAATGACGTAATTTCTTAAACAGCCATTTTTCTTTAATGTTTTTTAAAAAACTAAGATTCCGAAATTTGATTCCAAACTCCACTCCAAGCATCCAGTCCATGAATTACACGGAGCCGGTATGATGCTGGGTTTATATGTATACGGTTCCTTATGATCAAGAACTTTTTTGTGGTTTGCACTGGTATACAGACAATTATATAGTTTACTCTTTATGATTCTCCTCTCTGATTGTTTTTTTCTTATTTTTAACAACAAATCTTCATTTATCAGGTTTTAGGTTTTGTTTTAACATAAACTTATTAAGCAATCCTTAAATTAAAGAATATGTTTTTGACCTCCTCTGATCGATTGACTAAAATGGTCCGACTGATTTTTTTTTCTATATTCCAGGACGGACACTGTTTCATTTTTCTTTTCATTCCCACTATTCCATCAATAAATATGATGAAATGTTCGAATCAAAAACGATTTCCCCACCTACCTACCGAATCGAAATGTTTACCTTGAGTCATGAGAGGGCAAGCAAACATTATTTTAAAGATGGTCTTAAATTGGCATTTCAAAGACTCTTTTGCAATGCTGTATTATTCATGTACTTAGATGACCGTTTAAACTCTTGGTCCTCTTATTTTTTCATTACATTTTTCTTTAACAGAAAATTGAAAGAAGTCCCTTTGGATTTGAAAGTAGAATGCAAAAGCACTATACTTAATACCGTCCAGATATCCCTTAAACACAATATCAATACTCCGTCCAATTATTCCATTTATATTCAATACACTTTGCTGTAAAGAATCTCTTTATACAACCTTCTGTTTTAATTTTACATTTCAATGACTTTTTAAAATTGATTATCAAATTTTATGTGAATATGTTCACGGTTAATTATGTTATCAATAAAGAAACCAGAAATGAACATTTTTAAAGAAAATTGGTTTGATTTATACTTTTTCCTAGTGTGATATTGATAAACCATACGTTAGAAACCGTCAGTTTTTCCCATAATCTGTAAGCAATTTTCTGCAAGTGTAAATCAAGATACCAACAACAGCTAATGATAGTTCTGCTTTTCCGTTCTTTCACATTCATTTGTTCAACTGGACTGTCTTACAGTCACTTTGGAAAATTGAAAGCATCAATTTTACCTTTTTATAATTTATTAAACGGTTAAGCCATAAAGGTACAGTGCACTCAATGATATATGAAACTTGCCACAATTTTGGTAGGAGGGAAGAAAGACAACTAGTATACCATAAACAAACATTATCACGTTCCTCACCCGTTTGCTCAAAAAGTGTCCTAATACATACTCTAAGCTGATGAAAGATTATTTGAATCAACTACGACTGAATAGAGGAAATGAACCTTCATCCTATAAAATACATACAATCATGAATACTATTTTAGATAGCCTTGTTTCTTTACTCAGTTAAAAAGGAGTTCCATTATATCACAATAAACCTGTTTAATGTGCATTGAATTGTTTTGATGAACAATGCCAACATAAGTTGAAATAAAGGCACTACAGAGTCTAGCACATTTGTTTCAAATTTGAATGTTTCAATGACTATAGACGTGTTTGCTCTGCTCCTGTTTTGTATTGTTTAATGGACGGACTTTTGAGGTTAAATACTGTTCGTTATCTCCATTTAATTCACGATTATGGCTAAGTCTTAACTGTTTGACAAACAACTTCCGCTTTTCCATCGCTCCTCATGGAAAAAGAGGACCAAATCATGCAAGTTTACATCATTTCCTGCTCAGACAAGATGGAGAATCTAGAGGAATATATGGGTAGGCGTTACCTGATTGGCTGACTTCAGTTATGTAAATATTTTCATTTTAAAGAAAAAAATATCAATATTTGAATTAAATGGTGGAATGTAGGGATATTACAGAAAATTTTAAAATGTCAGGGGGAAATTGTGGGAGTGGAATAGACATTCTTTACTGCCGATCGCTGTAAATTGAAAACAACTGCAAATTTGACCTATAAACGCCGCGGCACGGTATATTTTTTCGTGTTTTAAATATGTACTTAAAATGAAGTTTCAAACGATAAGAGAGATTTGTTTCAAAGGGAATTTGTAAAATACTGGGAGGGCATAAGGTTTGTATTGAGTTCTATGGGAAATAAATTGGTACTATTTTCCCTATATGTACGTAGCAATATGCATTATACCCTACATATGTTGTCTATGTCCACCAACTGATGATTCGAAACTCATGAGCAGGCTCTAAATAAGATGATGATCAATTCAAAATCGTGCAAGTTACTGACAAATAAGTTGATGTACATGTTATAAATATGTCAACAATCCCGTGTGTGTTAGCCTTTGCGCAGCAATATATACCTTCATTACCTGCATTAAGGGTTTATATTTCTCAGTTGATTAGAAAAGCAAAACATGCTTCATACTTATGAACCATATTTAAAACAAGATAAGTAATTGAAAAACAAGTTGCTGAAATAAGAATATCAAGTTTTAGATGAAGTCATCATCTCGAACGTTCTATGGTCGATACAATGTGAAATTGAACCAAAGACATTTTTCATATAATTGCTATGCCATTATTTACACACAGAATCGTTAACGTTTTTTTCCGTTCATATGACAAGGAGCTCAAGGTGAATGTGACCGGTCGGCAGGGGGACATTTCTCGATGGCACCTGATCCCACCTCTGATGTGTGAGAGGTCCGTGTTTTCTCTGCTCCTGATTTGAAGTGTCGATATGGGCCTTTGAGCTGGAATACCGTGCGATATCTCCACATATTTCGTTTGAAATGTGGCGAAATTCCACCAGAATTAAAGAAATTAAGGAAATTCTAATTTGTTATCTTGACCGTTGAACTGTCTCCGTATAATACATTTTTTGAATTTAAATCAATGATAGTTTAATACAAGCATCATTAATTTTTGAAATTGTAATTATGACAAACATAACCCATGGTACATATTATTGAGATCCCATTATGGTATCATTTGACGCATTTGTTTGCAGTGCGAATTTAAGTTTAATTTTTTATTGCATTTTCTTATATTTTTAGTAAATGAATTATTCTTGAACGGAATATTTTGAAGAAAAAAAGTTAAGTAGTTTGTGCGTGTTATGGTCACATAAATGTAGGTATGCTTTAATCAATTCAGAAATATTTTCTATAAGTCATCACATATTGAAGACATTTTTTTTCCAAATACAAGTAAATGAAATAATTGGCAATTTTCAATTGTATACCCAGTATCAGAGAGAATATCCAGAAAGGTACATGTTCGTTTGAGAAACATTATAAGAAATCATGATCAAAAACGTTGTATTTCCTCTTATGCTTTTCAAAATTTTCACTTACACAGATAAGTCCATATTTTCTATTAACTAATGGAACAAAATCTAGTACACAGAGTGCAATCAGCTTACTCAGCTTATTTCTTATGGTAAATTTCCTGTCAATATTGCAATCATTCCACTCAAACTCACGAGATGTGTCAACCTGAAATATCCCAAATAAAATGATTAATTTTACTCACAGTAATTAACCGACACGTGAGGGGAAATATTATAAGATTTAATAACGTGATTGGTGGATATAAAAGAGATAAGGTTGATTATTTGAGAGAAAAATGTTCCCTTCGATTAGCATGGTTTAAAACATATAATTGTATTTTATATTAAAAAATAATAATACACTGGAATTATAATTTTATTGATAATTGAATAATTATATAATTATTAATATATGAATAATAGATATATAATGATAAATATATATAAATAATAAATATATAATGAAAACACACTAGGTTAAAAAAAATAGGACGTATTATGAAGATATTTAGGACATAATAGTACATATCTTCTCTTTTTTTGGATAAAAAGAAAAAAAGAAATGGAACAGTAGTCCTTAAATAATCGTATGTTGCAACACGAAGTGGAAATGCCTGGATATCAATTACTTCCCGTTTGTCACAAAGGAAGGAATGATTATCAATCCGACAAATCATGTGATTTATATACATTTTCTATTTCTGACACATGGAAATATTAACGAAATTATATATTATCCTAAAAGAGTCTCTCCCGTTACATATATAGAGTAGTTAACATAACAAATGTACTCTGTACATTTGTTTGTTCCACCGATACGAAACTGAAACTAACATATATAATTCCATGTTCTATAAATAATGATATAAAGCACAGTCCCGTCGATGCCATGGAATTGGGCCCTGGCGATAACATGATTTTTCCTTTTATTATGCTTTTACTGTAGCCATGGTAATATGGTAAGATTGTGTTTCTTTTGTATATAAGTATATTAACAGAATACTGAATTTATGCAAACATATGTGACCAGATGTTGGCGTAATACGTAATTTTGTGTACGTGTATATTTGGTAAATTACTCTGCTTTATAATTTTCTCAGTACAATAATATTATTTTTAGTTGAATATATGTGTATTTGCTTTCTAAATGCCATTAATATTGTTTTAAAATAAGAACTACCAGAATACTTTTCTACTTTCGCTTTGAACTGGCTTAAAACTGTATCTGTCAAAATTCATGCTTGACCTCTCTCACCTGGTTATATTTGTTTACATGTATATAAATATGTGATGGAAGTTTTCCCAATGTACACAGGTGTTGAAACATAGTAGATATGGAAGCTTTGCTGTCTATGCCCCATTTTAGATCGTATTTTTACTTGTACGTTTAAGTTTGTCATTTCAAGTCTGCACAAGTGTGTTGCACTTAACGGAAGAGAAACCAGGTAGTCTAGGCATAAAACACTTAAGTTTATCTAGTGTCTGTGAGACGGCATATCATTGATATATAGATTTCCATCCCCCGGATCTAAAGAGTGAGTCCAAATAATTAAGCTGTTATAAAAGTGTTTTGATTGTCGTGATATTTTATTTGAAATAAAAAAAGAAGAAAAACTTTAGAGCATATATATATACATATGCATCTACATAAAATCAGAAAATTATGACGAGTCCTTTTTATCGCTTACTGTTTAACTGGAAAAGAAGTATATGATAACTAAACATATTTTCCAATTATTTCGTTGTATTATTATTCATTTTTATCTATGTAATTCATTAATTAAAAATGGTATTGATTACTCTGACTTTAAATGCAAGTAAAATTTTGTTTCAAATATACAAACAAGTGTACTAAAAATAAGAGAATATAAAAATAAAATAAATTTTATTTTTTGAATGAGAATTTGTTTCAGACAAAAAGAGTGCCCCTTGAGGGGGGAGGGGTGTTAAGGTTTGCATCTTTCTTTTAAAAAAGACTTGTACCTTCCCTGAAACATGGTTTTATGCCAGATAGTCTTAATAATGTACATACATGAACATTCCATCTACTTTCCAGAGTTAACCAGATTTTGAGTGTTGAGTGTTGTACGATGGTATTGGAATATTCTCTGAAATATATGTAGCACAACAATTCATTCCTTGCTTTTCTTTTACAGAATAAGAAAAAGGACAAGTCGGGAAAATTTTCCTTCAGGAAAAGCAAAAAGGTCTGATTATGAATAATGTCAAGTACTCCGTATGTTGTAATGTTCCATGGGGTGTCATTAAAAATTTCTTTTCTAATTTTGTAAATGTCAATTTAATACATCCTTTTCACACAGAATAAAAACAAGGACATAGAAGCCCCAGAAGAAACAAAACAGCTCACAGAACACAAGACAAATAATGAAGAAAACAACGTAAGTGAAATTAATCATGAATTCTTCAAATTTTGTCAAGATCAGGGAAGGGCAATTGAGCGACAATAAATTATCCTATGTTAAGCTTTGAGTCATTTTTATGAATGTACAAACCTTCAGGGTCAAACTATAGTATCGATCGACTGGTCATTACACAGGTACAAAATAAAGCAGTGAATGTGAAAAATGAAAGATCAGCAGAGATTCAGGAGCGGATCAACGAGAGGCCGGTGGATGTCGGTCCAGTTCTGAGGAGTGTGGTACAAAATGCACCAAGTCAGGTGAGAGAGAAAGAGAGAAGAAGAGAGAGAGAGAGAGAGAGAGAGAGAAAGAGAGAGAGAGAGAGATTTCAAACTGAGTATCGGGTGCCTAAGAGGATTCAGTATCCTCTGTCGACCTGTAATACCTACCGTGAACCCTATGTACCGAATAGATAGGCGGAATATTCCGTATTTTATATAAAAGTGAAGTCCTGATAAAGGTCAAGGTTTTTAAACCTTATAGACAGCTAGTTTCCAGTAAAATGGAAGTCATTAATTAACATAGTTATTTGCAAGATCATTTTGATAAACATCTTCGCTAGCCAAGGGTTTCTGATATGCTCCTCTCCTCATAAACCCTTGGCATACGTTGAAGTCAAAAGACAGGATTGTTTTCCGTCACGTGATCTCGAATCTATCTGGTACGCACAGATTGCGTCATCGCCAGAAATAAAGACACGTGTTAAAAAAATTAAATCAAAGTTTTTTCAAGAATAATTAAGAAGCAAAAATTGAGTTATGTTTATTCATTATTTATAGAACAAATCTGAAGCTTCAATATAGATTCTTAATCACATATTTAGAAGATATTGGATGACACCATGGCTATTCATAGAATTGAATGTTATCTTACGGATCGTTGTTTACTTGTGTTTTTCATTATCGAGATTAAAGAGAGAAGATGTATTCCGAACGCAAATATCGTCATTTACAAAAAACAATTGCTGATTGGTCGACCTGGTGTACTGAAATCCAATCAGAACTCTGGAAAAAAATCCCGATTTCTATGAACACCGTAGGCCGAGGGTTTATGAGGAGAGTAGCGTATCAGAAACCCTTGGCTAGCGAAGATGTTTGATAAAAAACATTCTGATTGTACACACAAATACTCTGAAGTTGATAGTAAACAAATACTTTCCATAAAGCTTTTAAAGAATCTATTATTTCCAGTTTAGTAAGATATATGTGAATATCCAATCAAAATACAAATAAAAATATTATTTTATAAAAAGTCTTCGATATTTCTTATTGTCAAACTCTTTGAATAAATTCAACAGGTTTGATTAATTAAACATAAGGAATCCCAAACAGATTGTTGGAAGAACTAGTCTGCGATAACAAATTTAATTATGGTAAAAACCCCCAGAAGTTAATTCAGTTGCCATGGAGGAGTGAGCATTCTCTGCCGACCGGTGTCACACCTATCGTGTGCTCCTTGTCATGCTCGAGAAATAACAGAAAAAACCGTCGTCAATTCGGTGTATAAATAATGGACTAACAATTGGTATGAAAAGCGTCAGTCAGCATTTGACTCAATGATAAATTAATTTGCTGACGTCATTGTATCGACCATAGAACTTACGAAATGATGACTTTAAACGGTATTCTTGTTTCAACAACTAGTTCGTCAATAATTTACCTCGTTTTAGAAAGTGTTCATACGTAGACCATGCTCTTGCGTATCGAATCAACTGATATATAAACTCCGTACGCAGGTAATGAAATAATGGGAAAATCCTTTGACAATTCTGTGTGTAAAAAATGGCCTAACTGTTAGTATGAAAAATGACAGTCTGCAATTGACTTAATGATAGTTTGTATTTGTATATTTTGTAAGTCCCATTCACTTCTCTCTTGAGAACAACAGGAAACTGCAGTTGGTGCACTCTGCAGTTTACTTTAATTTGCTTATACTGATGTTTAACTTTGCAGATTCAATAACACTTAGACATGCAAGAGACTCAATTGCCGATTCTAAATACAAGAGAGCACGAAAAATCGTTGTTACCTTTTTGTTAATATAGTTTGTTTTTCAGCTCATTAGTAGCGGAAAACAATAAAACATGCTTTCAATGTATCATCAAATCCTTCCTTCTGAGTATGTGCTTGTTAGAGAGTAACACCCTGACCATAGATTTAATAATAAAGAAGCTAAAATTTTAAAGCAAAGTGTACAATATTTTTGAGAAGTGATGTAAATCAGGTGTGAATACTTAAATAAAACATTTAGGATACTTTTAGAAAAATTGAAATTACTAAATTGTACCCAAACCAAAAATATTTAAAAAGTACTGTCGACTTTTCAGTTCTTTTTAAACATGTCTACATGTATCTATAATTGGGAATTTTGTTTTTAAACGAAATTGAAGATTAGGAAAGCCAACATTTATACTTTAAGCATTTTGAAATTTTAAAGTGTATCTTTATATGAACGCTTAATGTTTTATAACCAAGAACTATAGTCTATTATTTCCCCGAAGATGGAAAACTCAGTTCATCGCCAAATTGGTTATTCCTGACTTCTATATCTCAAAAGACTTTAATTTATTGAAAATTAACTTAATGTTGCATTTTACTCTGACAATTTCATAACCCTTACTGCAACATTATTGCTTATTCTTCATGAATAAAAATATCAGTCCCATTTATTGAGAAAATTGAGTAAATCTACTATATATTTTTTCTGTTCTATCATATTTTTTAGAATGGAGATTCCCCGAAAACATTGGAAAGTGTAGACCCAAAAGGACCGAAGAGGGTACATAGTTATTCCAGGGAGTCGCCTGAACAAAGCACATCCCAAATGTTGGTCAGTTAATGTTTCAAATAAACTTAGAAATTGGCTTATTCGAAAATATTTTATAAGGACACTGTGTCCTGAAGACCTTATGTTCTACCTGTCGCCGTATGATGGTATACTGACACGCAAAAGAAACGCAACACCCTACTTTAGGGGGAAATAATTATGTAAAGTAAAGAATTTTGTATCTTAAAATTATGAATATCTTCAATTTGGTAAACATCGGTAATTTATCGGTTGAACGATTTCAATACCATAACCGGAAGTCAAGTTTGTGTCTGCTTAACAGAAATCAAAAATTGCATGATTAACAAAACATTTGGCAATATTATGGAGTTTTAAGGGTTTTTTACTGTTCATCATAAGTAATGCAGCAATATTTCAAAAAATAAACTCTCCTTTCGTTTCCCGTACCGATGCTAAGGCTACTTGAAAATGTCTTATGTACGCATTTCCATTGCTCTGGCTGGAAAATTTCAATGTAAAGGTGATGGAGAGTTGGTGATGTGAAATTTCACTACATTACACCTCAACAGGGTCTTACGTATCATATGCATTAAAGACAGTCTTTGTACCGGAAGTCGACGGGTGGCTACACTGCTCACATTTAAAATTCGACCTAATCATCTGAAAAACGGGTATTTAAAAATGCCAAAGAATAATTACTTCGCTCAGATCTCGATACTAATGTCCCTATCGTATCGAAGAAATTAAGCTGCAATTGTTGTTAAGGGCAGTCTTGCTCGTTTTATTTGAATGGCTGGGAGGGGGGTGTTTTAACAGTCATATTTTACTTAGTAAAGTAAACAGATAAACATTTAACATTTTTATAAAATCTCTGATGTTCTGAAAACTGAGTTTAGCCTTACTTTATTCGCTTTTGAAAATCATAAGATAAAAAAATCAAACATTTGTAGATTACTGCTTGTTGCGTTTCTTTTGCGTGTCAGTATATAATGTGATTCATCTGTCTTTTATGAGCGTTTGAACATTTCCAGCATCTTGTCTGATGAACGAATTTTAATATATATAGTATATAGGATTTATGGTTAAAGGAGAAAACTTGTAAAAATTATAATCTCTGATTCTCTTGGACACTAGAGTGTGACCAAAAACTAAAATGATTAAAGTAAAATCTTTTCTCTTGAATCAGTCAAACAACTCCTAGTATTTTTATGATAAACAATTATAAACCTTTTAACCTCGAAACTGGTGGGCTGCTATAGACATCGAAATGACATCCTGATTCAAGGAACTGACCAAAGGGAGGGGATAATTTAAAATGTGTTAATTTTCAAAAAAATATTTTCTTCTTATTTACTCTTTTACTACTTTTACTTCTGTCAAGTTTCTGGCATAATAAGCGAACTAACAAATTCTTTAGATAAATTCTTCTCCTTGTGTTCAGGAATTACGCACAAGACTGGGATGAAGTCTTTTTAATTATATGCTGGAGGTTTATTGAAAATACTTTATATCTGATTTACTTTATCTGCTTAGGAGGCAATATAGACGTTTAATTACCTTTGTTGATTTAACATTTCTTTTTATCTTTTATAGCCTATGGAGGAAAGAAGGAAATTAAAACAGTTTGCCTCATTTCGAAGTCCTAGCTCAGTAAATATTTTTTTTTCTCAAAATAGAATTGCTAAAATGAAACTTACCACTTGCAAATGTGTACTTTTTAATTTGAAAATATAAATTTCACGTCGTGATTATATTCGATCAAGTAATTCGAAGTATCATTTTTGCGTGATTGCAGATCTATCTATAATTACAATTCTCGTTTCAGAATAAAGATACTTTGTCTTATGAAAATGAAGAAACGACTTCATCAGAGGTATTTTATTTTATAATTGATCGATACCGTCTAGTTCATCCTTTATTTAAGGATCAAAGTGAATAATACAGTCCTATGTAGGTTAAGTATGGATGTAACGAATTGTAATCAATCTCTAAAGTCCGTGGACACAACACAAAAAAAGTGAAGATAACGAACAGGATCTCATAAAACCCACAAACAATACAACTCTGTCAATACGGCATAAATAGAGACCATAGAGGAAATTTCAAAGAATGGATCAGGTGCCAAAGAGGAGCAACATTCCCTGTTGACCGTTTACAGCAACCTTGAGCCCTAAAGGGTCAGAATTAGTACAAAGAGAAAGGTATAACAATCGGAAATAAACGAAGTAGCCAATGTACGACCCATGATTATGTCTGCGAATAACAAATCGGGAATAAAATAAACAAGAACCTCTAGAAACAACAGAGGTGGGATTAAATGCCATATAGGAGTTAACTTCACCTGTCGACCTACACCTGCCGTGTGCTACTTGACATGGTAGTGCAAATGAAAAACCACAGGAACCACAGGAACCAATGATATTTTAAGTTGTCTTCTGTCATATATTATTGTTCTTGCACGTATTTCAAATGTACCCTATGTGGACAACATCATAGATTAAATATTTGATTAAAACATAGGTAATCAAAGATTACAGAGCTCACCTCAACGAATATTGTCTTTAAGTAAGGCAAAGTCAAACAATTAACCAACAAAAAGTGTACACCCAAAAATGTAAAATTTATGCAATTTTGATTTGATACTTTAGAATAGGCCTATATAAAAACTTCAAACTAGTTCTTCATCATGCAAACGTAATTGAAATCCAGCATCTGAAGCAAGTATGAGAGTTTTCACCCCTTGATGCCTCATTTGTGCAGGTTTGGTTTATATAAGCCTTATAGTTTCTTGGTAATAAACCTGCACCAATAACTTTTAACAGGTCCATTATATGCATGGAAAATCTATGTCGAATTCAGCATCTGAACATTAGTGTGCATCATAAGATATATCTTCCATGCAAGTTTGCTCAACATAGACTCAAAGTTATTTGGAATGAAACCTGAATTAAAAAAATAACCTTTTCACTAATCCAGAAAATGTAGGTCATATTCAGCATCTGAAGCCAGCTTGGTAGAATGCACCATTAGATGTATAATCCATGCAAGATTGGTTATTAAAGAACTCAAAGTCACTTGAAAATGAATCTTGCACCAAAAACTTTAACCTTTTCACTCAACCAGAAAACGTAGGTCAGATTCAGCATCCAAAGCAAGTCGGTAGTATGCATCCTAAGATGTAACATCCATGCAAGTTTGGTCATTATAGGGCTCATAGTAACTAGGAAATGAAACCTGCACCAAAAACTTTAACCTGTTCACTCAACCAGAAAATGTATGTCAGATTCAGCATCCGAAGCAAGTCTGGTATTATGCATCCTAAGATGTATCATCCATACAAGTTTGGTCACTATAGTGCTCATACTTACTTGGAAGTGAGACCTGCACCAAAAGAATTAACCTGTTAACTCATGCGGAAAATGTAGGTCAGATACAGCATCCGAAGCAAGTCTGGTAGTATTCACCCTAAGATGTATCACCCATGCAAGTTTGGTCATTATAGGGCTCATAGTAACTAGGAAATGAAACCTGCACCAAAAACTTTAACCTGTTCACTCAACCAGAAAATGTATGTCAGATTCAGCATCCGAAGCAAGTCTGGTATTATGCATCCTAAGATGTATCATCCATACAAGTTTGGTCACTATAGTGCTCATACTTACTTGGAAGTGAGACCTGCACCAAAAGAATTAACCTGTTAACTCATGCGGAAAATGTAGGTCAGATACAGCATCCGAAGCAAGTCTGGTAGTATTCACCCTAAGATGCATCACCCATGCAAGTTTGGTCATTATAGGGCTCATAGTAACTAGGAAATGAAAACTGCACCAAACACTTTAACTTGTTCACTCAAGCGGAAAATATAGGTCAGATTCAGCATCCGAAGCAAGTCTGGTAGTATGCATCCTAAGATATACCATCCGTGCAAGTTTGGTCACTATAGGGCTCATAGTTATCTTTGATATAAAAACTGCACCAAAACTTTAACCTGTTCACTCAAGCGGAAAATGAAAATGTATGTCAGATTCAGCATCCGAAGCAAGTCTGGTATTATGCATCCTTAGATGTACCATCCATGCAAGTTTGGTCACCATAGTGCTCATAGTTACTTGGAAGTGAGACCTGCACCAAAAGAATTAACCTGTTCACTTATGCGGAAAATGTAGGTATGTAGGTCAGATTCAGCATCCGAAGCAGGCCTGGTAGTGTGCATGCTTAGATGTATCATCCATGCAAGTTTGGTCTACATAGGGCTTTTAGTTACTCGGAAATGAGACCTACACCAAAAACTGCACCAAAAATGTTAACCTGCTCCAAAAACATGAACCTGGTCATTCCTTTGCTGAAATTGCAGCATCTGAAAATTTGACTGATACAATGAAACACACTAGTAACATCTTCCATGCATGTCTTATCAATATAGGACATAGAAGTACTTAAAAAGAAAACTGCTCCAAAAAACTTAACCTTAACCTGGGACGCCGTCGCCGACACCGACGCCGAGGGTATTACATAAGCTCCCCAAACTTCGTTGAGGTGAGGTAAAAATCCTACCCCAAGATCTAATTTTATATGAAAACATCTTGAAAAAGAGTTAAAAGACATTAGACCTCAAGTTAGTTGATTGGTCGATACCAATATAAGTTGATTGGTCGATAACATATAATTAAGGTAGGATTCTTCACTGGTTTCTGACTAGATGGAATATTCAAAGCACATTTGTTGATATGTCTTATATATTTAGATGTAAGGGATTTAAAAGACCATATTTTTGTTTCCTCATCACAATTATACAACTTTAAATAGAAATGGTAAACTGCATTTGAAAACTAGTAGGGACTATATTTTTGGTGGAATGGTGGCGTGTTGCAACCACTATTGAAATAATTATATCAATAGTGGTTGAGAGTGCATTTCAGTAGCAAACATAGTTAGTAACCATTATTGAAATACGACCACTATTGAAATAATTATATCAATAGTGGTTGAGAGTGCATTTCAATAACAAACATAGTTAGTAACCACTAATGAAATACGACCACTATTGAAATAATTATATCAATAGTGGTTGAGGGTGCATTTCAAAAACAAACATAGGTAATAAACAGTATTGAAATACGACCACTATTGAGATATTGGGTGAGAGTGCATTTCAATATAATAACCATAGGTTTCAACCACTATTGAAATACGAGCACTACTGAAATAATTATTTAATAGTGGGTGAGAGTGCTTGTCAATATTGTAACCATAGGTTTCAACCACTATTGAAATATACTACCAGTATTGAAAGAAAAGTTTCACCGCGTCAGCAACTTTTGAAATAATTACTAGTATTTCAATATATGAGCCTCGTCGGATAGAAATCGACCTTATGGTAAAATTTATCGAATTTGAGATTTTTGTGTTTTTTAATGGTCCATGTAAAACTATTACAAAAACTGAAAACGGAATCAAAATATCTTCAATTATAACAAAGTTATTACATTTTGAAATTGGTATGTTTGCAAAATTAACTCAGAACATATCGTTTTTTTTCACGATTCAATTGTGACGTCATGGTTTATTCTCAGGTTGTTTGGTAGGGCACCTGTCAACGCGTAGCAATGCAAGCGGTCATTATGCCTAAGTTAAAAGAATTGCTTAATAAATGACAAAAACAGATGATCATGATGTACAATCACAAAAACTGTGTTTATTATATTTTAAATTCTTTAAAAAGCAAATACTCAACCCCCCCCCCCCCCCAAGATCTTTAATTTCTACTTTTCTGTCTTTTGTACCGACAGCTTTGTCTCTATGAATAACTGAACTTCCAATAAACAAAATATAGATCTACATTATGCTGCCTTTACGTTTGATAAAGCCTGTATCCTCAAAGCATGCAAGTTAGTTAACACACTATGTTTGTTTTTACGTAATCACCATGTAAAGGAAAAGGGAACCAATGAGATCGAGTAAAAAAAAATATACAGGGATTCGAATTCGATCTCAGAAATACCTAGTTTCTTACAGAAAATACATGAATCATCCAGCCAATAAAACCAAAATTTAAATCATGCTATAATAATTATTCTCAAGGTAAATTTAAAAAAATCACATCCATCTGTATATACATAGTGATTACGTAAAATCAAACATGGTGTGATACTAGCACTGTGTCTAAAAGTAAGCTCATTTTATTAGGACCCCCCCTAAACCGTCTCTACTGCAGCTACATTCACCTTCAAATAGCTAGTCCTTATATATACATCCTCTTTCCCTCCACATCATTCTCGCTTGGTTGTAATTGGACGGATAGCTCGACAAAAAATTAGCCATTATGTCTTTACACTACCCCCCCCCCCCCTCCTAGTAAAAACCCAATCGTCTTTTCATCAAATGACTATTATCCATAATATAGAAAAATAAATAAGTAAATATACATGTACAAGTTATTGATTGATTGAATTTTGCTCAACGCCGAGTCGGCAAGATTTCAGCAATTATCGGCGGGAAATTTTTTATCTGTTGCATGCAAAATACATGTAGTTGATAACCTTAATATAGGGAACTATTTAACGTTCCAGCCGACGGACTATAATTTCAAAAATATGTTAACCGTTCAAAAGGATTTTTCTCTGTGTTCATCAACAAAATATCTCATAATGTACAAAATTTTACTTTAAAATCAATTTGATGTAAATAATTTTAAGTTCATTGTAAAATAAAATAATAATCATGCGTCGTTCGTACATTTTTATTAACTTTGTATGTGAGAGACCCCACCTAATTTAGGAAAAATAAGATTTAGAGTTACATGTAGCGGAAAGTCACGGGAAACATAATTGTATACACATTGGCTAAAATTCTCGACTCAATAAGTATGAATGC